TATTAAACAGTACTAAGAAAACAGTACTTTATTAAATCTAGACCCTTGAATATACCTCTTTTTAATATCCCATGTGAAGAAATGGGAAGTACTTACAAAGCACTTCTGCTGCATAATGTATGATGTTGTCTTTTTTTTTTTTTTTTAAGACAGTCTCACTCTGTCACCCTGGGTAATGTGCCATGGTGTGGCATTATCATAGCTCAAAGCAACCTCTAACTATTGGGCTCAAGTGATCCTCCTGCCTCCGCCTCGTGAGTAGCTGGGACTATAGGCATCAGCCATGATGCTGGCCTAGTTTTTCTATTTTAGTAGAGACAGGGTCTTGCTCTTGCTCAGGCAGGTCTTGAATTCCTGAGCTCAAGCAATCCACCTACCTCAGCTTCCCAGAGTGCTAGGATTATAGGTGTGAGCCACCATGCCTGGCCATGATGGTTGTCTTGAGGTGAAGCACTTGTACCAACTTTTGAGTTGTGAGCTGAACTAGCCATGTTTTTCATGGAATTTTTACACATTTGAATGAATAACACAAATTTCAGCATTCTTATCTGAGTATTTGCATACATTTTTACAAGAATTAATGAAGTTAGTCTGTCCCTTTGAGAAAGGGTAGCTCTCAAGGGAAAATAAGAATTTTTGAAAAACTCACATCTACTTCGGTCAGCTCAGTAGCCTCTCAATACTTACAGACTTTTTTTTGTTGTTGTTGGAGTTTTTTTTTTTTTGGCTAGGGCTGGGTTTGAACTCACCACTTCCGGTATATGGGGCCGGTGCACTACTCCTTGAGCCACAGGTGCTGCCCAATACTTAAGACTTTTATGATGAAATCAGTGGTGATATTAGTAAATGGTATTCTTTTGACACTGTATGACATGTGATGATATTTGAGAGATCCGAATAACTGAAATATTTTCCAAATGAAAATGCACGTCATTATGGAATCAATCATATGTAGGGTAAAGGTGTTACCAGATGAAGAGGGTCTGGCCTCCTGTCACTGTCAGCCAATATGCAGACACTGGGATAGGTCCACCCAATTTTGTTAGAAGGCCAGCAATTCTGGAGAACAGTGAGAGTAGGCTATCCCAGACTGTTCTGTTCCTCCATTTCCAAAATCACAGTCCTATACATAAAAGTTCAAAGTAAAGACCACATTAACCCTTATTTTAAGCAATAGTCAGCATAACTCAATTAGCATAACCCATTACAACATTCCAATTCAAAAGCCAATCTTCCAAATAATCCACCTAAACTATCCAGGATAGGTATGCTCAGAGTGGGAGCTAAGGCCACAAAACAACAAGAATAGGAGGCAGGAGGCAAAGGTCACGTAGGACCCAAACTGACCAGGCCAGCTGTTGGCCCCAGCCCAACTAACTCCATACCATTCTCATATGTTCTTTCAAAGGAGCTATTTAAAGTGAAAGTTATATCAATGGATTCTGACATGGCTTTGGATGGATTCTGACATAATTTTCAAGAAGCTATCAAATTTCAGTGTACTATCAAAGAAAAATATCCAAAATTATCTGAAATACTATTCTAATATTTTTACTTTTCCCAATCACTTATCTTTGATTGTGAGACCATATTTTTTTTTTGTTGTTGTTGCAGTTTGGCTGAGGCCAGGTTCAAACCCACCCTCGGTATATGGGGCCGGTGCCCTACCCACTGAGCCACAGGTGCCATCCCCATATTTTCTTCATATATTTCAATCAAAATAAAATATAAGAATTTTTTCTATTGTTAAGCCATACATGACATAGATTTGCAAAATGAAAAACAGTGCCACTCACTAATTTTTTAAGTTTGGGAATATACAATTATTGCATATAAAAATGTACTATGGTAGCATGTAATAGGTTTATCATAAATATTTTAATATGAATTAAATATTTAATTTTTTCTTCATTTTAATTTCTAATACATTAATGGCAATATCTCAACCTACATAAACTAAAGGTTTGTAAGGTTCTCAATAATTTTTAAAAGTGGAAAGCGATTCTGCGATCAAAGTATTTAAGAACCACTATTCTAAATAGTACAACAGCTGGGCTGGTCTCCTTTGACCATTTGTAGGAAGATAGTGGTTAGGGCTAAAGCTACAGTAAGAAATTATTATTTTGGCTCGGCTCCTATAGCTCAACCGGCTAAGGCGCCAGCCATGTACACCTAAGGTGGCGGGTTCGAATCCCCAGCCTGGACCCGCCAAAACAACAATGACGGCTGCAACCAAAAAATAGCCGGGCGTTGTGGCGGGCACCTGTGGTCCCAGCTACTTGGGAGGCGGAGGCAAGAGACTCGCTTGAGCCCAGGAGTTGGAGGTTGCTGTGAGCTGTAATGCCAGGGCACTCTGCCCAGGGGGACAGCTTGAGGCTCTGTCTCAAAAAATAAATAAATAAATAAATAAATAAATAAAAGAAATTATTATTTCCTAGTGAGGTTAGGCAGTAGAACATTGTTAGGGAGGAACTATTCAAGAACTAGAGTTACCACCATAATAGATCATGTTTACAGTAGCAGGTAAGTAGAATAATCCAGGACCATTGATCTCAAGCAAAGCAAGCCAAAGTTCTTTTTGGAAAAAGAGGCTGAATGTCTCCATCAAGGAAAAATAAATTTTAACTGAAACCCCTTTTGATTAGGAAACCAGTTTACTCTTGATTTGTGTGTCTCTCTATCAATTAGAGAGAAATTGTCCTTTTCTATCAAATAAGACAAAAGGGAGTTGCAACTGTATTGGGGGAGGGCTCACAATTTTTGCTGAGGTGTGGATGCATAAAATAAAAGGTGGAGAGCATTCCATTGCTGGAATAGTACCATGATCAATTGCAGAAATTTAGCTCTAACATTGATTGAAGTGGGAACTCCGCTATTATCTGGCTCCTTTCCAATCAACAAGTGAACAAAACCAGCCAGAGGTTCAGGACCTTTTGGATTCTCACCTTTGGTTGGGGTTAGACTGTGAATTTAACAGCTGAATATTGTTTAGGCTTTGAATTTAATAAGGAATAAAGGTCATGAGAAACTGTTTGACCCACTTCAGCCTCTTGCTGTCCAGAAATTTCCATCTCACGGAGATGAAAGGAACAAAGGTATGATCTAACTAAAAAGTGGGTTGTCTTCCAAGAGGAGAAAGAAACAACAGGGACAGCTTCTAGCTTTAGAAGGGATTGTTTCTGAAAACAGGAGACACAGAGCATCACCAATGAGGTCAAACGAAGAACTGACTGGAAATCACCCAGTAGGCTCTTCAATCCTCTTTTAGATCATTGCAGGAAACTTTCTTTCTAGGTCCACCCAACCCATCTTGGTCACAAATGACCATTTATCTCCCTCAAAACTGATCATACGTGAAGTGGCTCTACCAGTTGTAATGATCTGGACAGACGAACTCCTCTCAGGCTTTAATGTCATCCTCCGTAAAATGATAAGAGTTAACAGTATTTACTTTATAAGGTTCTGTGAGGATGATCTAGGATAATGGATATAAACATGTCTTTAACACAGGACATGGCACACGCTTAAGTGCCAAATAAGCGGTAGTTATTATAAAGGAGATTTTTTTTTTTTGCTTCATATTCCCATCTGTGAGTAGCTTTTTCCATTCTCTCTCCTCAGCCACCTTTTCTCTCCGGGCTGCTGGTCTCCGAAACATCTGGTCCTTCATATCCCTGAGTCATCACCATTAAGATGCCATGTTTCCTCCTACTGCCGCTCTCTAGGGCTCCCTCTCCTGACTGCTGAGCTCTCATGGGGGCCCAGACCTAAATTCCGCGACTCACTTTAGGGGCTTGGCCGGTAACCCGCCTTGGAGAAATGTCCTCAGTGCCTTTTGCCCACAGACGACCACCTAACAGGTGGCTACAATGAACACCCACTGGCCTCCGAGACGCGCCCCCGCCCAGAGGCAGCGAGGTCGAAAGCTGAGCTGCGTCCGGAGGCGCTCTCCAGGCCCGGGGCGGGGCCGCGCGCCCACGGAGGTGAAAGCGAGGCCGAGGGCGGGACCGTGCGCCTTCCGCTAGGAGAGCAAGGTCCGTGATGAGGCCACACCTCGAGCTGCGCGTGCCGGGGGCGGGGCTGAGAGCGGGACCGCGCCCCGAAGTGTGAGCGAGGCTGGGGGCGTGGCCTCGCCTGAGGAGCAGTGGAGACCGTTAGGGATGAGCCAGCCGCCTCCGCAGGAGGCGCGCACAGCCGCCGCCGCCCCCGCCCCGGCCCGAGGCAGCCAGGGGTTAAGGCCACCGGCGCCACCTGGGCGCTGCTGAGGAGACCCGCTATCCGGCGAATCCCGGGCGGGCGCGACGAACAGGTGCCCGCGCGCGTCAGGCGCCGGCAAGGGGCGGGGAGAGGGGGCGCGGCCGGAAGCCCGGGGCGGGGTGCGGCCGGCCCGGTGAGCGGGAGGAGCCGGGGAAGGCAGGAAGGAGCTCGCCCAGCTACGCGGCGTGCGATGTGGATCCGCCGCCTCGGCCCCTGCAGCAGCCGCCGCCGCCGCCGCTGCTGCTGGGGCTGCCGCCGAGCCGAGGGTCATGGAGCGCGGCTGCAGAGAGCGGCCGCCGGCAGCAGCAGTAGCGAGCGTCGCAGCGACAGTGGAGCGCAGCCCGCCCCGTGAGGCGCTGCTTGGCCGGCGGCGGCGGCAGCGGCAACAGGGCGGCTGAAAACCCGGCGGCAGCGGCAGCGGCAGCGGCATTCCTTCTCGCATCTTCATCTCCTGCTTCGCGTCCTCTCAGTTTTCCCTCTAGGCTTCCAGCTCCCACCCTGTCCTTCTCCTCCCCACCTGCGCGCGCGGGCATCTGAGCCCGGGGACGGGGGAGGGGAGCGCG